TAGTTACCTCTTCCCAGTGTCCATCCCTCCATACTCTCCTGCCCCCTGAGCTGTCTCCCTGTGCGTAAGCAGCCCTTCTTTCTCCCATGATTGTTCTCTCCAAGGCATGTGTCTACTTGAGGTAAATGTTTAATCACATGCCTGTACTTTGTTTGACTGGAAACCACAGGTGTGGGTTCAATTCCAGACCTGAAGGGCAGGTAGAGGCCATAGTCTCAGTGGTTCCACCAGGCTCCATAGGACCAGCAAACCTGTCCCCAAGGGTGGTAACTTTTATCATTTGGTTAAGATGGATTAGAACTGACACCACTCCCCAACATGGCTACAATTCCAGTTACCATGGTCTACCAATTGAGTACTTGCATAAAGCACAGATTCTGCTGTTGATTCTTTAGTTCATATATCACTATGTAAACAGCAGATGCATGTCATGATAAGTGATTGGTCACATCACTTCTTTCAAAATCTGTCAGTGACTGGTCACTGTGTGCTAATTGTGCTGCCTCATTGTCTCCCAGTGATAAAGGGATGTGACATTTTGCAAGAATAATTAAAGAACAGAATTGACCAACAACTGGACAGCTCAGCAAATAAATGGGGGGGGGACTGAAAGTAAAAAATTGAAAATGGTTGTGATGAAAAGGATGAAACTGGTCCTGAGGAAGTGACACTGGGAAAAAACAAACTTCACATTAAAGGAATTCTTGGAGAAGTTTTACAACATTGGAAGGGCAATGGATAAAATGTTAGAAGCTGATCCATACTTAGAAAGGAGTGTGACAATTTTTCAAGGCATACACAAGTTGCTCAGACCATACTGTAAGTTATACCTACAAAGAAGAGGTCGAGCGCTGTTCAAATATTCTTGATAAGTGTTTTGAAAGAAATAAAACACAATACTGCTCAATGTGTCTGATGTTTTAAATTAGTGTTAGCACGCAGTACTACATTTTTATGTATTAATTTTTCTCTCTCTATAGAGGGAGCTCTGGTAGCATAGTGGCTAAGGCACTTGACTACTAACCAGAAGGCTGGCGGTTCAGACCCACCAGCCACTCCTCGGAAGGAAGATGGGGCAATCTACTTCCGTAGTGATACTGCCTCGGAAACCCAAGGAAGGGTCGCTATGAGTTGGGTCTGACTCGACGGCACATAACAACAACAAATAACCTACAGTAAGAGTTTTAATATTTTCAGGAAAAATTTTAAGTCACAGAAATTGCAGCTCTCTCCAGTGAGTGTTAAGACCATTTTGCAAAATTTCACCTTGCATTATTATTTTTATGATGTCACACTACTGTGATGAGGAGTTTCATCATATAACCAGTGGGAGAGTTGGGGATGAAGGTCATGGAAGCCTTCACGGATAGTCACCAACTGAAGTACCAAAGCAGGTGGTTCTCATGAGCTTGAGGAAAAGCTGTTGTGATTCTTAATAATCTCAGTGAAGCACCCACTAACTCAGTCTGCTACATCAAAGCAGATGGGGCTTGAGAGCCTAGGAAGCCCCTGTGAATCTCACATCTGCCTATGCATCTGGCTGCAACTGCCCACAGAGTATGATGTACTGTTCTCTTCCATCTTCTAACTCTTATGCAAGTGCCTGTCACTCACAATGTTAATCCAAAACAATTTAGGCCAGAGAATTCTGGAAAATTGTTCCCTGGCTTCCCCATGATACAGTGTAAACCTTAAATAGTTTGGTGGACATAGTAGAGAGAGTAATGGTCACCTGAAGATGTCCACACCCTAATCCCTGGAACCTGTGAATATGTTACCTTACACATAAAAGACAACTTTGCAGATGGAAGTAAGGTTACCTTACAATGGAGAGTTAGCCTGCATTATCCAGATGAGCCCAATGTAATCCT